TGCTGACAACACCAAGCTAAGGGTTGAGATCCCCTTACCGGTCATCTTTTAAAAAAAAAAAAGAAAAAAAAAATATTAATCATAGAACCTAAATATAATACAAATTTTGTTTTCAGTAGATTTTTATTAATATCTTTTTCCATTCTTGTTTTCAGTTTTGTTACGTTCCTTCAATTAGTCAAATTACCGTCTTACAAATTACTGTTCTTATTAGATTTTGGTTCTTGGGCACATTTTCAGATTGCATAGCTATTTTCCTTTGTTTGAATAGTCGAGTTTGATATGTATTAATAAGATAACTTGTAAGTAGTGGTAGCAATACAATATAATAAGATCCTACAACTTATTTTCCCAAGGATCTGAGGATAATTTTGTCTGGGGATCTCAGGGTATAATAGAGTTTAAAGGCACTGACAGTGTTTTGTATAAGACTAATTTTTAAAAAAATAAGATATAAGGGCCGGCCCGTGGCTCACTTGGGAGAGTGTGGTGCTGATAACACCAAGGCCACGGGTTCGGATCCCTACATAGGGGATGGCTGGTTAGCTCACTTGGGAGAGCATTGTGCTGACAACACCAAGACAAGGGTTAAGATCCCCTTACCAGTCAATCTTTTAAAAAAATAAATAAAATAAAAAATAAGATATAAAATGTTTATTTAAAAGCTTTTTTAGTGTAATTTTGACTTTTATTCAAGAGAATCTCTATCTTTGCAGAGTTCACTGCCAAATTTTAAACAAAATGAGTTTTCTGTTGTTCGACAACATGAGGAATTTATTTGGCTTCACGATTCCTTCGTTGAAAATGAAGATTATGCAGGTTACATTGTAAGTATTGAAGTTCCATTTTCATTCCATTTTCTAGAAGCTTTTTAGGTACTCTATTATGTGTTGGGACCTTGTTTAGCATTTCTAGTGAACTTGTGTGATTTTTTTTTTTTTTTTTTGGTTGGCCAGCACAGGAATCGTACCCTGGACTTTGGTGTTATCAGCACCATGCTGTAACCAACTGAGCTGACTGCCCTGAACTTACGTGATTTTTAAAATTGCCAGTTATAAAACATACTTGGCTACCACCTTTTATCCTGAGTTGTCTAGTTTAGGGGCATAAAGATGTTAAACTCCTTCGTTTAAGCTTACATTTGTATTGTTTGTTAAAATTGAAGCAGGCTTGTCTTAGGGATTAAGGGCATGTTATAAACCATACTGATTTTGAACCCATATTGAAATATGCACCAGATGTTGAAATAGATGGTTATTCTGCCTCAGCTGTTGACCACACTCAGATTGCTGAAATTTAGTTTCACTTGGTTTCCTTGAAATTATTGTGACCTGATTCCATCTCCATCCTTGTGGTCAGCACTCCTTTTCAGTCATTTGTTTCCTTTTTTTCCTACAGTTCAGATTTTCATGAACGAATAATAGTGCATTTTTCTTTTCCCATTCTGTTTCTGCCCTTTTTCCCTCCCTACCTTCTTATATGATGATGTATTAGGGTTCTCCAGCGAGACAGAATCAATAGAATATGTTATAAATATATGAGAGGGATTTATTAGGGGAATTAACTCACGCAATTGTGAAGAAAAGTCCCACAGTCGGCCGTCTATAAACTGGATGCTGGTAGTGTGGCTCAGTCCAAGTCTGAAGGCCTCAAAACCAGGGAAGCTGATGGTGTCCTTGGTGTAAGTCCTGGAATCCAAAAGCTGAAGAGTCTCAAGCTCTGATGACCAAGGGCAGGAGAGAGGAGTGTATCCCAGCTCCAGCAGATAGAGAGAGAGAGCTTTACCTTTTTCCTTTGTTCTCTCTGGACCCGCAGCGGATTGGATGGTTCCCACCCATGTTGAGGGTGGGTCTTTCCCACCCAGTCTACTCAGACTCTCAAACTAATCTCTGCTGGAAACACCCTCATGGACACACCTAAAAAGATAGTTTTATCAGGTTTTTCAGCATTCCTTTATCTAACCAAGTTGACACCTACAATTAACGTTCACAGTTGGTATGTTCTTGTATTCTCCTTCCATAAAGTAAATACTCCTCAAAGTCTAAAACCATGTCTTATTTATATTTATATACCCAGTGCTCAGTGTTGTGCCTTGCACATAGTAGATACTCAGTGAATGTGTACTAAACTGTACTTGATGCTTTCTGACTCTGTTGCTTTCCTTGGTGTAATCCTTTTCTTGTAATCATTCTTTTTTTTTTTTTTTTTTTTTTAAAAGATGACCGGTAAGGGGATCTTAACCCTTGACTTGGTGTTGTCAGCACCACGCTCAGCCAGTGAGCGAACCGGCCATCCCTATATGGGATCCAAACCCGTGGCCTTGGTGTTATCAGCACCGCACTCTACCGAGTGAGCCACGGGCCGGCCCTCTTGTAATCATTCTTATTTTAACTTTTCTTCCTTTTATCTCACTTGCTCTCTTTAATTTTCCATCATTTTTCCCTTGATGATTCTTACTTGTAGGCCCTTCCTCCTAAGATAATTTTTTTTTATATCCTTCCCTTGAGTGATATATATCTTCTAGATGTTGTATTTTTATTTAAGGTTAAGTACATCCTTACTCCCTGACTATGGAATGAATAGAATGAGGTTAGTCATTAATCTGTGTCTTGTTCTCTTTTTTAAAGCAGTTCTTTCTGCTTCTGGCACACTGCTTTAATCCAGGACCCTTTTTAACATCCCTTGCTGGATTGTATTTTTAGTTTTTATTAATTAATAAAATTCAATAGCATAAAGCTACTATGAATTCATTAATTTTTAAAAATACATTTGCATTTAATTATACCACTTACGTACTTTCGAAAAAATGGTATGCATGTTTGCTCTATGTATTCATTCAATCTATAGTCAAAGCTTAGTGTGCATATGAATGTGAGGACTCTGGGTTGCCATGTAGGAGTCCGCAGATTGAACTTTGAGAACTACTGTTCTAGAACCAGAAAGTAGCCCCATGCTGTATTTCTACTTTGGTGTAAAGGACCTCAAAAATCTTAATTTCTAGAACTATTCAGGTTCTCTAATCTGGGTTTGGGTGTTCCTGTTGCTCAGTTCTTTCAGGACACCTTTAACTTTCCCAGACACGGTCTTATGGTGATGGTAGTACAATGCTGCAAGAAATGAAATAATTCTTTAAAATTAGTGATTTGGTTCTGTTATAGATCCCACCAGCACCACCAAGACCTGACTTTGATGCTTCAAGGGAAAAACTACAGAAGCTTGGAGAAGGAGAGGGATCGATGACGAAGGAAGAATTCACAAAGATGAAACAGGAACTAGAAGCGTATGTGATTTTTTGTTGTTGTTGATCTTGTTAATTGTGCTTGTTTTAAAACCTTTTTTCGTGCTCTCTGATATCATCCTTTTAATTGTTTCACCGTAGTGACCCTTTCTGGAAGATGCATGTTAAGGTCACACATCCAGTGTTAACGATCATGATCAGAGCCTACAGGAAAATTATAGAATAATTATCTACATTGTAAATGCTTTAAATTGATATTTTAAATACACTCTGAAAATTGAAAACAAAGGATCCATAAGCTTATAAAAAAATAATAGAAAGGGAACATGAGTTTTTTAAAACAGAATGTTAATTTTTTTTTTATTTACAGGGCCTTAGTCATTATCAACATGGTTATCTTTTTTCGAACATGTGCATACTACTAAAACTTCTTTTATCATAGAGGAATGTGCTTAGCAACTCTTTGTGTATATTGTTTTCTTTTTTAAAAAGTGTGTGTGTGTGTATATGTGATTTTTCCCTCTTTTCTCTACCTGTGGCTTCTGGCCAAAGGGAAAAGAATAGGAGCAAAGTAACTAGAGAATAGTTAAAAATTGTTTTTCATTAAATGACTGTTAGTTTCACATTTATTAGAAATGTATTAAATCCTTGAAAAATTGTGATAATTTTTATTTCATTTTTAGTATATTTGCTGAAAATACAGAATCTTTCCCCTCTTAATAAATATTCGAAGTAATTTTTGGATTTACTATGAACTGTTTCTCTGTATTTTGAGAATTGTACAAGGAAATAATTTTCCTTGCCTTATCATAACCTCCATCATTCTTTTTCTGGTTATTTTTCCCCTTCATGCATTTCCTTTTCTCCTCTTTTACTCAGTTTCAGTTTTTAAGTGTGTTATTCATACTGCTACCAGACTTTTCTTGAGAATGCTAAACTCTTTTGAAAAGATGAATTAGCAAAATAGGTCTTCTTTGTCAAAGTGTAAGATGACAGATATTTTAAGAATTCTGTCAGTACTGGATGCAAGCAGTAGTGTGATAGCAGACAAATATATACTTAAAGATTGAAAACTGGAATTTAGCAGAACACATTAATATAGTAGAATCTGTGATTTTCCAGTGGCCCTGATCATGATTCTTTTGTGGTCTGGTTAGGGGTTGGATAACAGAGAACCTTGGGTTTATTCTACTGCTACCTCCATCCTCTGCATCCTTCTTTTTTGTCTTCACTGAATGACTACCCTCACAGAGATCAAACTTCTCCCAACATTGGTCCTGCTGATTTACTGGTACGTAAAACTTACCCTTCTTGCACGTAGTTGAAGCAAGAATACAGGGCCTTTTCCTTGAGTGTTTTTTTTTTTTTTCCCCTAAACTGACATGTATTATTATATGGTCACTGGGATTCACTGATGATATTAAAATATTTAAAATACATTTCTTCAGTGTAATGGCAAAAATGAATCTCTATGGTGTATTTCTTTCTTGTGTTTGGGTCATTAGATGAAAATAATTATTAATGTTGAAAATATGCTTATTGAGGCTTGGGTTTTGATATTTTTTGTACTAGGGTGTTTAAAAGTAGTAATTATATAGAAATGGAATCATTAAGTTTGTATCAAATAATTTGTATGCTTTCTTTGGAGCTGAAAACAAGCATCACTATAGTTACCTTTAACATCAACGTGCATAGTAAGAAAAGTTCATAGAACTTAAAAATATTAACATTTTGGGGCCGGCCCATGGCTCACTCGGTAGAGTGCGGTGCTGATAACACCAAGGCCGTGGGTTCGGATCCCATATAGGGATGGCCGGTTTGCTCACTGGCTGAGCGTGGTGCTGACAACACCAAGTCAAGGGTTAAGATCCCCTTACCGGTCATCTTTAAAAAAAAAAAAAAAAAATTAACATTTAGATATAATAAATACTGTTAACTAGCATGAAGTCTTTTTTTAGAGTTGGGTTTTATATTTAATTAACTATTCAACTAAAACTGTTTTTTACATGAATTATATCTTCGTATCTCTAATTTTGCATTTGGAATAATCCAAAGAGTATTTGCTGAAAAATTTTGTTGTAGGTAATTTTCTAGTCGATGAAGTTTCTGACCTTTAATTTTGTGTATTGTTTCTAGTGAGTATTTGGCAATATTCAAGAAGACAGTTGCAATGCATGAAGTGTTCCTCTGTCGTGTGGCAGCACATCCTATTTTGAGAAAAGATTTAAATTTCCATGTCTTCTTGGAATATAATCAAGACGTGAGTATTGAATTGATTAAAGCAGTGATCAAGGTTTCTTTTTAAAGAGTCATTGGAAAAGGCAGGGAGTAGTTAGGAAAGGCATAAGGCCTTTTATTTATTTTACTTAAGGAAATAAATAAAAGGACCATCCATCACATTAGGTATAGGGACCACTGCAATAGGGTCTTGTAATAGAAGAGAAAGATTGGGCCCAACATTAATGCCTTTTTTAGAATGTTATTTTTCAAGGAAGTTTAAAGTGACACTTTTTTAGTAGTAATGCAGTACTATTTCAATAGAACTTGAGTAGATTAATTGAAGGAATGATAGTAAATCATGTTACTACATGAGACGATTTTTTTTCCTGATCTGCCCCTCGAGACATTGATTTTTTTCATCCTGAATTAAACTTCTTAAGAACAGGGTTATCAGATTGATGAGTGCTTCTTAAATCTGAGTTTGGAGTCTTCTGAAGCCTTATGGAGAATTCCAGGGAGGTGCTTGAACTAAAGAATTCCAGATTACTTTTGAGTAAATCATTGACTTTTGTTCTGTTTAACTGACCTCCTCCAGTGCTGATTGCTCCTACTTTTCCTACCTCCATCCCTCCCTGCCTGAAAAAACTTTGTTACAGTGCAGTAAGAGAGATTGAGGTGGTTGAGCTTTAAAGATTTCTTCATTCATAATACTGGCAAAAACATTTTTTTAGTGAATGGGTGATGCAGATCTCGGAACCTATATTTGGATGTCAAGATTAATTAATAATTTCAGCAGAAAACGAATATGGTATAGTGCTTGTTTGCTTACAAGTTAATGTCAAGATCAAAGAATTTTGTATATATAAATTTACTTTTCTAGTTTGGTTTTAGTAGCTATGACAGTAAAATGTCCTAAGTCTAACAGTAGAGGACAAAAATTTTTATAAAAAAATGTATGAAGTAACTCAAGGTCATAGAAATATAGTACTTTAAGCATAGGTACTTACATAGTGTAAATGTGGTATATGGTAGTTCATAACTGGGAACTGTAAAGAACTCAGTCTGTATCATGAAATATAAGAAACTGAAAAATGAGTTATGATAGGGTTGCTATGGAATACATGGGAAGAACACATGATAGGGTGCTATCATTACTTTTTTATTTTTATAAGTTTGTTTTCGGCTGAGTCTTATTTATGACCTGGGCTAAAACCTTAGTAATAATTTGGTGGAACAGCATAGGTATCAAATGAGGCATGGAGATATCAGTGCAAGGCCACTTGAGCTAGAGCAGCCTAACTCTCCAAGTACTCCATCCCATTGCCACAGCCCTTAGTACTACCTGAAATTATATACCTGTATTTTAAAATGTAAGTTCTATGAAGGTAAGACTTTAATTTTTTACCACTATATCCTCACTATTTTAGAGTAGTGCCTAGAAATTGAGATGTAAAATAAATATTTATTGAATTGATAAGTCAAAGATTATTAAATGTTTAGATTAGCTTTATAATTAGCCTTCAGAAATCTTAGGGTTTCATAAATTTTCTCCCACCAAGGTAGATTTATTTATTTTTCTTCCTCACCAACTAACATATGTGTAATTAAGATGATGATGTAGAGCTGGCCAGTTAGCTCAGTTGGGTAGAGCATGGTGTTGATAACACCAAGGTCAAAGGCTCTGATCCCCATACTAACCAGTTGCCAAAAGAAAGATGATAATGATGATACATCATATAACCCCTTTAATATCAGCAAATGGTGTTTTAGAGAAAGCCTCAAAAGATGGACTGGAAAGTACCGTATTTTGCAAGTATTCTTTAATTAATTAAAATAAGGGCCAGCCTGTGACTCACTTGGGAGAGTATGGTGCTGATAACACCAAGGCCACGGGTTTGGATCCCTTTATAGGGATGGCCGGTTGGCTCACTTGAGAGCGTGGTGTTGACAA